CAGACAACCCCGTAACAATATGCGTTTTGTACTGCTGTTACACAGCACAAAACGCATAATAAGTGGTCGAAAAAATCTACAAACCAACAGATCTATGACAGAATTTTCAAATATGGATTTGAAATGTCGAAGTTTTGAAAATAGATTTTGCAAAACAAATTTACTAGTTTCATGATAAGAAATCTGAAGCGATCAGGTTGCTTTCCTCGATCAATTATTTCGCAAAAATGCTTGCTTCCAAGCGTTTGCGCGCCACGTAACACCGTACAGTCCATTAAGAGAACCTGGCATTTTTAATGAATAAAATTTGTCGAATTGAACGACTTCCAGTTAGTTATAGCTGGCGATAAGTTATGCAACTCGTGTGCTAAACGTTGCCCTCCAATAGGATAACCAGTTACTCTGTGATTCGTTCATTCGTTTCGATAGTAAATTGGTACTGAGGTACGCCATGAAGTCAAACTTGTCATCAGCTTGTTTATAAGCAATTCACAAAAGAAGAAGCCATCAAAAGCTTTGCCAGCGGCCGCTTGTTACGGGTTAATAAAGTAGCACACAAACTACTCTCGTTTACCTTGTTGAGGGGTTTTAGCTTCTAAATTTTGAGTTGCTTATTAAAAGAAATTTTCGTGTAACCGCAATTTCCCTCAGTACTCTGTGAAAAAAAAACCTGTAGAAAGACTGGCTTAAAAATAATCAGACGAGAAGCAGCCAGTCGTTCGTTTAGTCATTTATTTCAGTCCAATTCTGCTAAAAAAATCTCAACACTTTATTATTTATTCTTGTAATTTTATCAATTAATTTGTATTCTGGATTATTTTGAAATTCATTTTGTACAGTAGGAAGACCGAACTCCTTTCTTCAATTCCTGATCACTAATCAGTGAGCACAAGTTTTAGTTTTTAAAATTATAGCTAAGGTCCAATCTTTCCAGAGAAGCCAAAAGAACGGGTTCAGCAGTCAGAAGGCAGGCACCATAACAGCAGTAGCGGTAGTCGCAGACGACTAAATAG